GACTGCATATGGAGCTGATCACGTTAGGAGTGGAGGCTTTCGGATCACCTTACTGATGACTAATTGACCACAGTTAGAATGCTTTCCTGAGGTCAAGATGGCCCCTTCTCATCTCTATTTTTAAATGTGTATTTCTGTGTTTTGTGTTCTTCAACGTTAAATTTCTGGAGAGACCCATTTTCTAAGTCTATTTTATACTCATCCAGAGGGCAGGCTGCCGCCATGGTTGACAAGAGGAAAAGGGAATCTGTCCCTAACAACATAAAAGTAATTTAACCATCTTGTGTGCATGCCATGCTATCTTTTTCCATGTAAATAGTGGAGTTGAGCCACTTGATGGTTAAGTGGCGCCTTGTCTCTAATTGCTAACATAGCGTAGGCCATTCATCAGGCTTAGCGACTGTCCAACATCAATCATCCAGTCTTTTGAGGTTTCTCTCGGGCCTGCTTGGCCTGACTTCAGGTAGAAGCCCAGGGCTTCACTCTCATAGAAACACACATACAGACATGCTTGCATGCACAAAAAAATACACCTCCACACGCTGTCACTCATGCATATATGCGCTTTGACAGACGTGGATATTCCCCTTCTGACTTCCTGCTCTGTTTCCATGCACGAGGAAAAGTCTGAAATGGCTTCCATGTGCCAGTAGGCATTGAAGGCTTGGTGTAAACCTAGCCATCAGCCCGTGCTAATACTTAGCTGCTACACCAGGAAGCCCATCCTGGAGCTTGAGGGTCTCTGCCTACCTTGCTTCCCACAAACATAGCGGAGCTTATTTAGGTTCTAGCCTAGAATGTTTATGTATTTGTTTAACAGAGCAGGCACTCCTCATTAGTGGACATGCATGGCTGCATGCTGATGATAGCACCCATAGGGTATCACGGCACAAGGGAAGGTGATGCTGAGTTCAGGAGGTTTGATTTGCCCCCCCTTGCTCCAGCTGCCTCTCAGTGCTTCCAAGGCATTCGTCAGGCCTCCAGGAGAGGCTGATATACCCCTGGAGGACTGAGAGAATGAAGGCAGACTGTAGATTGAAATGAGGTGGAGGTGGAAGGGTAGTGTGTATCAAGGCCTGAGAAAAATTGGGTCGGCCAGAACTTGGGAATCACAAAATAAAAACATGAATATGTGAGGTGTTGTTGATTATTCCCACAGTTTGCGGTTAAAAGCCATAATTCTTTCCTGGGTACTTTTTCCTGTATCACGCTTACTGTATGCAGTGATTAAGGGCCAGAGTGCCTTCACAGATGTAAAGTGGTACACCTTTAATTCCAAAAAAGAACTTCTTTCCCATTTTAATGATTTTATTTTTTGTCGTACTGTTTTGATTTCCACATCAAACTGGTGTTATGTCTTAGCAAAGACAAACCTGAATGTCTCTGAGGACCTATGCAGCAAAAGGTGTGAGAGTTAACTGTAAGCTGCAGCGGATGCAGAGGAGTTGACGCATACTTGTCACAAATCTCAATGATGCATCATGCAGAGTTATGCCAGTGAAGTACAGTATAGCTGTTTGGATTTTTGGCTTTGGAAAGCTCAGCACAATGACCTGTAGTTTTCATTTGTAATGGATTTGTTGAATATATTTCATTGAAAATCTTTTTTTTTTAAAGACACTTACACTCTTCTTATTGTCAGCTCTGACTCCACTAACTCACCCACTGTCCTTCACTTCCCTCTCAGTCAGTTTGTCAGTCCTGACTCTGCTCTGCTCTTCCACTTACCCTCAAGTCTGTCTCGCTCGTGCTACCACTGGAGTTTTTTGGCCTTTGTTCATTTTTTCTTATCAGACGGAGCTCATTTGGCTACCGTACCGGTGCTGAGTTCAGACAGGGGCTGGCCAGATTATGAAGGGAGGCTCCCCCTCCCTTCATAAATCCCCAACTCCCTTGTTGCTGGCTTGGCTCGCCTACGTGGGCCCATCACGTTGGAGGGCAGTGGGTCAGATTAGATTCCTAAAGTATAAAGACCTAACAATGACTGCAACTTCAAATAACTGCTACTAGAGAGTCAGTGAGGTGTAAAAGGAAAATGAGCATGGGCAAATGTGTCTACTGATACCCCTGTTTGTTTCACTACTGGTGTAAAAACATATGAAGAATGGTGGTTAGAACAGAGATAAAATTGTCTGTGCTTCCCAAAAATTTGGGTTCACGACCCCATTCGTTCATATTTGCATGCTAAATGTGCTGCCCTATAATCACCACCGCCACTTGCAATAAAAGTCGTAAACGTGGTCTGTCTAAATGGCATCAGGGTTTCAGCATGTGATTTAAGCCATATGTGTCAAAACACGATTTATATCTACGCACCATATGTGAGCAGATTCCGTAGATAGCCGTAGACGTGCAGCGTAGAGTGTATCTGTGTAGTTTGTGCACACAGCTCGTTGTCGTTACAGAGTCCAAGGTTGCTTCTCTGCTGTTTGGTTAGCCTTTACACTGCCACCAGGCACCCCAAGGGACACAATAAAAACATCCATCACGCCACTGGCCATCAGCCAGCTCGAAAAAAGAGTCAAAAAGAAAAAGTAGACAGAGAAAGTTAATGACCACATGTCTGCATACTCCTGTGAGATTTCCTGCAGATTCCCCATCTCACCCTGTTGTCTGTCACAGTCCGTCTCTTTCCCTGTAGCGCTCCATTCTTTCAGACACTCACACAAAAAAGGCCTCTCTGTCCGTCTGGGGGCCATTGTAACTCAGACAGCTGCTTTAAGTCACACTGTGGGGGTTATATGTGACCCTGACACTGAGGTCTGACAGTGCCTTCCCCTCTTGCTGACCTGTTCCACTGATTTCTCTCCTACTGAAACCTCTCGGGTTTCTTTAATTAGCCCAATTATTCTATTAGGTTTGCAACTCTCTGCAGACCCTACCACTGTCTTATCGTGATGTCTTTCCTTGTTTCCATCTCTACACACACCTCAAAGGCCTTGAGGAAACCATTATCTAAGAGGAAAACCATTAGGTGTGAATAGGTTGTGAAAACAACCAAGATGACATGATAATGGCATCACCAAAGTGGCACAAACCAGAGGCTCCTTTGGTCTTTGAGGAGCATTTTTTTTCTATCTTCATTGATAGTGGAAGGTAAACTACTTTGGACCTGTCTCAGGAAGGCAAGCAGTACAATGACAAACCCACCGCGAGCTTTTGTTGTGCTTTAGTCGCCGACCCGGGCAGCAGCGGGTTAGGACAGTTGAAATAAAGCACACCAGCTGAATGGGGTGAGGAAGGCTCCAGCCCTGTTCTTTTTTCTTTCTTTTTTTTTTCAACAGAAATAAAAACAATCTTCAGGGATGATGGAAATAACAGTTAGGTAAGGGTGGGAGGATGAGTTGCAGCCACGACAAACTATGTGTCGACTAGACGACACATCTGTCTGGTTCGGGTCTTCAGGCCCAAGCAAGGATGACGCCACACTTTAGGTTGCAGTTTGCTGTCTTATTCCAACCTAAATCCAAGCCAAGCCGATGCCCAGATGGTGTTTGTGGGAGATGCCGTGACAGGTCGGCACCCTTTCAGCCTATTGTTTTATTGTAAAGGAAAAAAAAGCTATTGGGATTTACTGGTAAATGCATCACTGCTGAACACTGTCATTTCAAATAAGAACGCTGAAACACTATACTCCTCTCCATGTGTCATTTTGGCGAAGGGCCAAGCTCATAAAAGAGGACAAGGAAGGCCTGACTGTGTGTGTTTGTGGGTCTATTTTGAGTTTTCTACCTTGTAGCTTCTCCCTTCTCTCCCAAAGTCATCTGGACCAGCACAAATAATAATAAGCCACTTCTGTCACCACGACTGGCAGTGATCCGCTAACAAACACATCTCGCTCACCTTTCAGATTGGTCCACGCGCCATTGTTTGTTAAATTTCATTCTAATATTACTTTTGATATCATGTTATTGTTGTTCTGTTGTTTCTCTGAAGAAACTAAATGTCCTATACACCATGAACTGTTTGATGGTTTTTTGATGAACATTTAATCTAACCAGCACAGCCATCAGAGATCTTGATCGACTCTGCCCATCACCTTTGTCTCCTTCTATTGGTTTGCCCCTTATGGTGTTATGCCTCACTGCAACAACCTGTTTTATATCAAGGATTAATGCTGCCATGTCATTGAGTTTTTAAAGGTTTGAGCTCGGTGTCAGTTTGTGTTAAGTATTGGTCTTCGTTTTCAGTCTTTTAACCCCTGTGGAAGGTGCAAAAATTACAGAAGGTCTATCTTTACTTTCCAGAAAAGGTGTAGATGAACCAACTGCTGTTAGATGGATCATGTCATAAATTTGTGCATTGAAATACATATTATGCTTTGCCCTTTCCTTCTGTCTGTTGTGGTTATTTTGTGCGCGTTAAAGGTCTGTAAACTTAAAAATCCTAAAGTCCATGCCTACATAACACACTGCTTCTTACCTTTCTGGAATCCCTTGTTGGAAGTCAAGGATTTTCTTCTTATTTACACCGGCATGTAACACATTCGCATAACACCTGCCTAGTGGCAATTTTTCCAGAGCGCCTAAAGAGACGCTAGCTAAATTGAAGCGTTTCAGACAGAGGGTGGGAAGAGGTGCTTCAACAATGGCAAAATAATGTTGTTTTTTTGTGCATTACAGCATTTGAACATGTTCTAGAAGCCCTCTAAAATAAAATAATAAAACCTGTAAATGGGCTTTTAAAAACACACCTGAAAAGCATCTACCTCTATAAATAAGACACCATGGATTGGTTCTGTTTGTCATTTAAAAGAAGAAGTTCAGTATCTGTTTACTCCAGACGAAAGCGCTTTCACTTTGTCTGGAAAAGTGATCATAAATCAGCCATTTTGGTAACAATGAGCATCCTGTGTGCACTTTAAAGCCCTTGAATTCCAACCAGATACCTTTACTGTCTTTTTGGGCCATTGCCTTTTGACATTTGAGCAGTAAACCAAAGAGGTAGAAATGCAGCTCACTTCATTTCATTTTTAATTCTTCTCTTTAAATCCTGTGTAGGGAGCAACAATAAGACGTGATGAACACACGGGAGCCATCCTCGTGGCAAGGATCATGAGAGGAGGGGCAGCTGATAGAAGTGGTCAGTTCCAACTCCGTTTCTATCTTTTGTAGATGTACACATTTGTTTCTGTCTGCCAGAGCAATTGTATGTGGAATCGTATTGTAAAGTTAAACACAGCACACCTAGATTATGTCCAGCGTACAGCAAAGAACACGTGGACTTAGGAATTGTCTGCAAACCTGAGTCCACCAATTCTCTGCCATAATTTGTATAAATCCACTTTGTAAAAATGGACATGAATGACAACTATACTGACAAGCTCTGCTATTTGTCCACATGTTTTGTGTTTGATTTTGTATTCATTGTGTCCAGTCTGTTTTTCAGCTTTGCCACATTCAAGCCAAAGGCAAATTTCCACATGTGTCGACAATAACGTTTTGATTCTTGTCCAATCTCAAATGCCACCATGACGATAAACATTAATCTGGTGGGCTGTATACATCCTCAGACTCTGTACATGCTGGACTTTTACACAGTAGCTCATTTATATAAAGACATTAAAGCAATAGAATATCAGAACGATTGTAGATATCTGAGCTCTGTGTTTTTGTGTGGTAGGGCTGATTCATGTTGGGGATGAACTGAAGGAGGTCAATGGAATCCCTGTGGATGACAAGAAACCAGAGGAAATCATTCGTATTCTGGTAAGCCTCATCTTTTTGTGTTTGCAATATGCCTTGTGCGTTTGTGTGCCGTCCAAAAGTTTCTCCCGTGTTTCAGCTCCACTCCCTTGGCGAAAATAACATTCCTTGTTTGTGATGGCAAAAACCTCCCCTAACTCATCCAGGACCCTGGGCGTCCCGTCGCTGCGCTGAAAACCAAACACTTGCCTTTCTCTACAAGCCTTTCCTGGCCTTTAGACCACATGCATTGAGCCACACGGTCTCCCTGGATGAGATTGGTGCTGTGTAGTTCCTCCAAGCAGCCTTTGCCGCAGGCCTCAAATGAGCGCCGTCATGGGCTTTGACTCTGCCAGGGGGGCTGACTGGAGAGGATAGAGAGAGTCTCTTAAACTCTGGAGGCCTTCTTAGACAAAAAAAGCCTTCAGAGCAGATGATAGCTCCCAATACTCCTCCTTTTACACCCACCCAAGAACGCACACACAGTACTTCTGCCAAGCAGAGTCATCCAATCCTAATAACCCTTCCATTGTTGAAAAATCAAACAGTGCTTCGCATTATGTGACTTTTACTGGATTAGGTGCTTTGTGAAATATTTGAAAGGCTAGATGAATGCTGTTTCCGCCACTTCCATTTAACCTACTCCATCTATCTTGTCTCCCTCTCCTATCTAGGCCCAGTCACAAGGAGCCATTACTTTTAAAGTTGTCCCTGGTGTCAAGGAAGAGGGGCCAACCAAGGAGCCGAAGGTAGTGGTCCTGTCCTGGCTTTATCGTTATGTTGATTGGGTTACATTTGTCAACTTTCAAAGTAGAGTTTTCCCCGCTTCAGCTTGATCATTTTTTTTGTTGGAGGAAGAACATTGTTTTTCAGCTACTCTGAGGAAGTGATGTATGTGCAAGGAAAGACAAGCTGCAGAACAGTAATGAAGAAAGAGGTGGAAATGTTTCAGCACTAGAATTTAAACCGCTTAAACTATGTTAAAAAATACAGTCCCCACAGTAGGAGCTCAACACAATGAAAGTCAGTACACCTTTTACTACTGGCATTCAAATCTGTTTTTATTGCATTATATTGTATCACCATCTTTAATTTTAATGACATACCCCATCCTCCTCAGCATGGAGGATACTGATACTAAATCTCTTGAGATGCTCTGCTGTTCTTCAGAGGCTATTTTTTTATTTGCTCTTTGCTGGCGGGGTTGTGTTGCTCGACTCTTTTCTATAAAATACCCCAAAGGTGTTCTGTTGGATTCAAGTCAGGCAAAATACTTGGCCAGGTCATCGTTTTCAGGTTTTTCTTTGGCAGAAACTCTTGTGTGATTTTGATAGTGTGCTTTGAGTGGTTATCATGCTTGAATATTCCTTTTCTGACAGGTTCTGCAGACTGGGAGTCATTTTGTCAGCCAGTGTGTTGGTATAATCACAGACACTCATGGTGCCATCTATGAATGTCATCTCCTACGCATATTTTGCACTCCCATGCAACCCCATGTCATCACACTCCAACATCCACACTTCACTGTTGGGACGATGCATTTACTGTGGAAGTCTTGGGCAGGTTCATGCCAACATACTAGACCCTATCTGAGCCAAGCAAATGCATCTTGGTCTTATCAGATCAAAGAATGTGCTGCACATATTCATCAGGCTTGTTGCCACGTTCTCTAGCAATGTTTTGTTGCAGTTTTCTGTAGAAGAGCAGACTTTTTTTCCCCCCAATTATTTTTAGATTTCCTTTTCCTTCACACTGCCTCAGCTGTCACAGAAATTCCAACTTCCTTTGATAACCATTGTGCCTGAGTCTGAAGCACCAGCACATGTGTTTTTTCAGAACTACATCATGAAAGTACTGCGCTGTCCATTGAGTCATCTTTGGAGGATGACCACTGCGGCCCTGATTAGTGATACTACGGCTCATTCTAAACCTCCTGATTAGTGCTGCAACTGTGTTTCCACAGATTTATAGTTGATCAAAGACTTTATTCTTTTCCATCTTTGTGAAGTCACACTATCAGATTATTCATACTCCTCTGTCAGCTCTTTTCTATGTGGAGCCATGATGCTGACATCCAGATAGACACAGCCCATAAGGTCCAACACTGAGGAGGTTCTGTTGTTTTCAGGCCATTTTAAAACCATGACCATACAGCTAGGCCAAGTGGAAATCACAGGTTTTTGCAGTTTTGGCTCAATGATCACAGATTGTATGACTTATGTGTCAGTGATCACAGGTGTATTCACTGTTGTTGCAATGATGTTCTACTCTGGGACCTGTAGTTCCAAATGCTTTTTAAAGTATTTGTTTTTGAATATTCACAAGAGGAAATATTGTACTTGTCACCTTAGAAATAATTATGAAGAGGTGATGCAGTCTTTAATCATTTGACATTGAACTGATTTTACACAGGGCTGTACTCAATTCGGTTGGGAGAAAAACTGCAAACTGCTGTTGGTACCAGAAAAGTGTTGAGGGAATGTTTTGGACGACGTTATCCTCAGCAGTGTAGACAGTAGCTAACCATTCATTTTGAGGATATTTTAACCGTCATTCCAACCAGCATGCCACCATTCTCACCCACTGGGGTGTTGATACATCATTTCTCACATCCTCATCTATCAGTAGCAGACAGACGCTGGATCCACTCTCTGGTTTAAGCTCTGGGGTCGAAGGCTGTTGGTCATTACTCATCGTGCAGCCCACCCTGTATGTGTAACAGAGGCGTAGAGGACAGGGTGGGCCACTTACATCCTTTGTCATCTTGTAATGGTCGAATCTGTCTGGCTGTTTAAGGAATCCATCTGAATAATAGTCCACTGGTGCCAAATGCTCAGCCACTCCTTCATAAAAATAGCCTGCTCGCTTACATCAGGTAGTGTGGATGTATTAAAGGGCAACTAAGTGGCTGAACATGTAGCGGCCAAAATAAAACAAGCCAAGGGAAGAAAATCAGGACATCTTAAGAGTGTAGATGTATGACTGTACACTGCTGGAGAGTTTAGCAGCCAAAAGCGGCTGTTATGACCCAAACAAAACATCTCTGCCGAAACATAATTTCACTACATGGCACAAAGCACTCTTTAAATCAATAGGACATCGAAAAATTTAATCTCTCCCTCCCTCTCCCGCATTTTTTCTCTCACACACATACACACTTTCCTTCCCTCTCTTTTCTCTTTCCACATGTGCTGAGGTGTCTTAGGAGTGATAACTCATCATGACAGAACTTAATTTGGACAGAAGACGCAGCAAGGTGCTCTAGGTTGCAGCTTGCCTCTCACAACAGGAAAAGTTGTAGAGATTTTTCCACTATGAAGTCCAACCCTCTTTGTGTTGATGGGGTGTGTACAGCCCTCACTGCCAAAGTAAATTAGACCCCAAAGGAAAAAAACAACTTTTGTCTGTGTCGCATTGTTCTGTAGTGTGGAAAGATTACTGGTCTTAGCGAGTATTAAGAATTAGAGAAAGTCAGAGGGTGGGCTTCCAGTTGGATTCTCCAACTGTGGATGTTAAGTGTCACCACACACATTGCGTGTTGACAGGGCTCAGCCCGGCCTAAGTACTGATGGAATGCCACAGAGAGACTAACTTAGCCAGCAGTGGCAGGTTTTAACTTTTGATTGCTATGACCTTTGTAGAGTAATCACCCTGAGCTTTAATGAACCACCTTCTATCTTTTCCATGATGACAATGATTTCACACCACATGTAGTGGATGGAAAGGGACTTTACAGTGAACCATTGCTTTTTCCTGTTGTGTCCTCAATCCAGCTCTGTTTTCTTTTGTTTCCCTCCACTGCTGTGTGTCCAGGTGTTTGTGAAGGCATTCTTTGACTACGACCCTAAAGAGGACAAAGCCATCCCATGTAAGGAGGCTGGATTGGCCTTCAAGAAAGGCTCCATCCTTCAGATCATGAGCCAGGATGATGCAACCTGGTGGCAGGCCAAACATGAGGGTGACGCCAATCCCCGTGCCGGCCTAATACCGTCCAAACAGTTCCAGGAGCGGTAAGAAACAACCCCAACCAGAACTGCCTGTCCTGTCTACCGGTGCCTCTTAACAAGGCTGGCCCAACTGTCTTCACTGCTGTCACAGTCACAGAAGTTTCACCCTCTTTTTCTTTCTCTTTCTCTCCCCCTTTTCTCCATTTTTTTCTTGCTTCACATTGCCAAAATAGTCTGGATTTCCGCACAATGTCTGGCCTGAAATGAGTAATGACAGAAAATGATAGCGCTGGTACCGGTCCACATTGGACGGCAAGTGGATGGAAAATCGCACATCAGTGTGTGCTCTGTGTTGCACATCAAGTGCAACACAGAGCTCAGGAGGCTGGGGCAGTTTCTTGGCACAATCCAAGAGCACCCGAGGAGGAAAAGAAAAACACACACACACACACACACACACACAAGGAAGGAGCGTCAAGAGCACAGGAAGGGAGCGAACATTTCACATTCAGATTTACCCCTGCAGTTTCGTCAATAGCAAGGTGTTGTGTTTTTCTTTCACCTCATTCATCTTCCTTCTTTTCTTTCACCAGTCTCAGCTGACAGACTGAAACTGGTGCATATTGTAGAGTGGGTTCTCTATAGCGTAGCAGAGAGTGTTTATTATTCCCCAAGCAGTCATGAAAACTGATGGTTTTATTGTGCCTTTTCTTACTTTTTCCTCTTTTTCTTTGTCCGTCTCTCTCTATTTCCAGGAGATTCGCACTGCGACGACCCATTGCAACTCTCCCGTTCCAGCGGACATCTAGCAGACGATCATGTAAGCACATATTGCAAACCAGAGCATGACAGTATGCTTCTACAGGTGGGTGGGTTGACGAGAAGCGGAAGCAATGCTGAAAGTGAGGGATGCTGGTCCGGAGTTGACATCAAAAACAGAGCCCAAATGACAGATCCGCACTCATCCTTCGCTCTGGAGCCACTGCTGAAGCCGTCCATACGGTTGGAGTGTTTCATGCTTGTCATCAAAGGAAGTGTTGTGTCTGGATTTACCTTCCTTCTTATTTTCCCGTCTGCTCCATGTTTCACTCTCTCAATCTCGTGCCAAACTCCCTTTCCTCTGTCCCCCTCTTCCTCTTCATGTGTTGATGTGGTCAAAGTCATGCAGGAGCTTAAGTGCAAAGAAGGAGAAAGTTCAGCTTCTGGAAAACCTCTCTCAGTCTTTACACCTTCCAGCCAAAACACCAGTTTGCCTGTCCATCCAGCTATATCTCAGAGAGCCTAATGACGGATTAATGATCTGATATTAGACCTACGGAGCACATTAATGGAGCCTATGATACAAGCCTGTACACAAACCTTAACCCTCATTCTGTCCAGTTGGTACAGCCAATTTAGGGAGAACGCTTCAGCAGATATATGCTATAAGATCAGGAAATGGATGGAATATAGCTAAATTACCCTTATAAATCAAACGTTGTTGATTGCTTCATAATGAAGACAGACGACACAAACCATGTTACACAGGAACTACAACAGAAACTCTTAAAGGATAGCCTACAGACTCTGGTTTTAGAATTAGGACTAGAGAAGAGATTCATACTCACACCAGTACAGTGGAAAAGAGAGAGAAGCCACTACAGTAAAATGAGAGTGTAGAAATACCGCAGGCTTCAAGTGTTTTACAGCATAACTTTGAATCAGTCAGCCAGATCTCTTAATAGAGCGCAGTTCCAAACAGTAGGGGAACAGATGGTTGGTGAGAGTGAACTTCAGTGTCACAGTTAGAATGACCAGGACCGCTCGTCAAGATTGAATGGAATAGGAAGGCAACAGATTTGCTTTGGGCCTTTTGCGATCGGTAATATTGAATCTTCACAACATTTACTTCGTGGCTACACTGAACATTTGTGCAGAGCATTCATGGAGCGGCCGCTGCATCAGTATGTTTCCACTTTCAATGAAAGTTGCTATACCAACTGATGTGCTGCAGAGATGTACAAACCTAAAAATAGACCAGTCCTCGATTTAGATTTTTTTTTACAAGAGGCCCTTTTACACAAAAAGCTCACTGTCTTGTAGTGCCACAACCTTATGGCATACATGAGCTGCAAGTGTAGCCGGTAAAAAAAAAATAAAAAATACATTCACTGTAAAAAAACATTAAAAATCTGGCAGCAAGGGTGCTAGAAAAGCCATGGTCAAAAATGGTGGAGTACTGTAACATTCAAAAACTGTAAAAATGGTGAATATAACAGCAAATATCTATAAATAAGGGTTTTTTGTTTTTTTAGATTTTAATACAGTTGTGGCCATTTTTCTTTTTTGTTATGTTTTTCCACAGTCAAGTTATAATTTTTTTTGTAATCTTGCAACATGTCATCTGTAAAAAAGTAAAAAAAAAAAAACAATTGTAAAATGTCCATTTACAAAATTACCTTTCTAAATTTGAATAAATATATTTGCTGATTTGAATACATACAAATAGTGTAGTTTTACAAGAAAGAATTGCGGTTTATAGTATTTATAATATAATGTATAAAAATGATTAACAGTTTTGGCCATGCAAATAAACATGTAAGTTAACATGTAAATAATATTTGTCTTTATTAGATTTTTATGGTTACTTTTTTTTTTGTTTTTTTTCAATACCGTTCCATGGCACATCCACTTTGTGAACAATTCACATACTTTATGCTTTCAGTGTAGCCAGAGCATCAAGAACTAACTAATCAATGGAATCAAAATGCACAACAAGCCTGGTATTGCTCCATCATCATGAATGTTATCAGTTGTTCAGTGTTGCAGAGCCATGAGCAGAATGATACTGAGACTGCACCTCAGTGTCAATGTGCTATTAGGGAAATAACACTCTGCCTCGTTTGTTATTTCTTTAAGCTAATCGTATCGGGAGGAGCTGGGTCAGGGTTGTAGCCACACTGCTCCTGCAAAATAGTGACAGGGGGAATTGTGTTGGTGGAACAGTTCCACAGAGAGGTGAAAACGGGCGTTATAATTGCTAATTCAACAATAGTAAACTTGGCAGTGTGGCACGTTGCTGCCTGGGGCTTGAAGTTGTTGTTTCTTGTAGTGGTGGGAGTTTTAAAAACACTAAGGAAGGAGAGGAAGAACCTGCTTAAAATGTGTTGCCAGTGGCAGGCTTATGCCCGTAGTCTGCATCAGCTCACTGCAGCCACCAGAAAGAAATGTTAGCCGGAATTGTAGACAGTAGTGTCTTTGCAACCTTGGCTTCAGTCGTCTTCCACCCACCCGCCCCAGCTGCTCTTTAGGCCACATCTGTTTGCAGGACTTTTCACCTGATTGAAAAGCTCTGTAAGAGATTTCCTGACATGCAGTCTCAAGATGACAAAGACATTAGTTATGATTTACAAACAGCTGCCAAACAACAATTTGGTTTGTATATGGGGAGCTACAGTGCCCAACAGCAGACTATCCAGCTGGCACCATGACTGCACATTACAGTATGACTGCTTGTGCCGGCCTGTAGCCATGTAGGACAAACCCATACTGCCAGTATCTGTTGGGGGTCTCTTAGAACCTGTGGGCCAGCCCACCTCACAGACATTAGTCTTCTGATTGCTGACGTCACTTTACTTCTACTACTAGGTCTCAATATAATCAATATTTACTCCCACTGCAGCACAAGTTTTCTTTTTGGTGCGGCTTCAATACCAAAGTGACATCTGCCATCCGTCATAGTGTTTATTACAGGTTATCCCACTCTGTACCACTGTGTTATTGCAGTTTCTCATCTGCTGCAAGTTTATTTGCAAAAGCGTCTCTCCTCCCAGCCACCCTTTCCTCTCCTCTGTTCTCTGACCCCTCACTCGCTGCATCTTTAGCTCCCTGCCTCCTGTCAGTTATACATATCTCCATATTCATGACCACCTAACCACATATTTAGGCCTAATGAAAGAACATAGGTTCTTTTCCGCAATGTATAGCTCGTCTCCTTCCTCTCATTCTGCCTTTTTCAAATATACAAACCCTCAGCAAAACACACTACACTTGTACTTGGCTTTATAAGCCTGTTCTGGTCTCACAATGACCCCATTGAACCAAAACCTAGTTCTTATTGGCCATATTTTTCACTGTAGATTACCACTTTTAGACGGACATGTCCATTTGACTACTTGTTTCCTACAACATGGCGGTGAGCCCTTAATGTAACGTGACTCTTTCAATATGTAGCTCTGAAATAACCAACAGAGCTACACTGACCACCTCTAAACTTAGCGTTAGGCTCTTTTACCTCCGATTCAAACTTACGGGTGAATTATAGATGTTGTCATTTCCTGGTTATGTTCAACCGCATACTGGCATACATGGTGCTGCATGGCCAAAAATAGCCTGCTAAAAAGTTTCAGACAGACAGTGCTGTACTGTTCCCTTACTATTTCATTTTAATGGCCCAGTTCCTCTTATGAGTTATGGGATTTGTAACCCCCTTCCCTCTATGCACAGAGGGCAGGTGTAAAATGCAGTCCGCTGCACTCCCTACCAAAGGAACATAAGTCTCGCTTTGAGCTGTAGCAATACTTTCTTTCTCATGTCATGCATACTGTAAGGATTAGTTGTATGTGCAGCAGCAGTAGTAGGAAGTCCCTTGACATGTCCCTCGGAGGCATTGATGAATAACTGGGGAATGATAACAGAACTCTCTCTGTTCCTGCAGAGGCACATGTACTCGTTTATTTCCTGATGTTCAAAATTTTAAAAACTCAATTGGAGAAAAATGAGTGAGAAACGAGTTGAGCGAATAAAAATAAAGAGTGTAGAAAAAAGTACACACAAAAGAGGATTTGCTGAAAAGTAAAAAAAGCATTATGGATGGACTGAGGAGCAATAGATGGAGAGAGAAGCCGTCGAGGGGTCACATTCGGTAGCAGATGTGGCCCTGTGGAGCAGTGGTGGCTGGGTCAAGAGAGATGGAGGGAGACAAAGCTTGGCTCAGGGCCCCGTCCAGGGCCGGCCAGGCTGGGCCCTGGGGCCATTAACTACAACCTAATTGAAGGATACCGTGGAGACCCCGCTGTTACTGAGCGGAGGACAGAGGTGGTGATTGAAGAGGGGGTCCTTTTCTCTCTCTCTTTCCAGCCCGGGAGCTCCATCGGCTGGAACAATATTGGTCTTGGCGAGGGGCTGCAGTGAGCGTTGCTTAACCGTGTCCATTTACGCCTAACGTTTGCAAGATATAAATAATCCCTTTCCTCGCTGTTGCTTTCGCTACGTTCATGGATGCATTCTTTGGTTATGAAATTGATGTTTAACGTGACATCAGTTGTACTGTTTAAACCAATTACTTATCGGCCGCGTGTTAGATCACCTAATTTACTTTCACGCTCAACTTGGCTTACCTGCCTCCTCCCTTTTAACCCCACAGCTCCCTTCCATCAATACCTGGCTCTCCTCCAGCCTCCCCATCTGCTCTCTCTGAACATTATGACAGCTTTCTGGGCCTTCTTACAGCATGTCTGTTGTGCTGTCTGACATGCAAACCTCTCCGCTGTCTGATTGTTTAGTTTGGTTTGCAGTCTGCCAAACACGTGGACACACTTATTGCTCACCTTGGGGTCTCTCTGTGTCTCTCTTCATACATTACACCACGATCCTTTTCTTTTTCTCCCTCTCTCTCCATTGAGCAACGGACTCATTTCGAAATGGCACCCGAGATTGGTCTTAAGTGGCCCTGAACCTCACCCTCTGTTCAATTTATCCATCCATTTCATTTTTTAACTTAAATGCTTACAGACACAGGAGTAGATTTAGAAGCGCAATAGGCGCAGGAGAAAAGTTGTA